ATAGTTCTTTATACTGATCAAATTGCAGGGTACTGTTGATAGAGCAATGCAAGCTCTATAAGATGGCATGCGAGCATACCTTCGGTAGTCTAGAGACAGGGCGTCAAAAGTAAAGGTTGTTTGAACATATGACATCAATAGTGAAGATTGTTTGAAGAAGATCAGAGAAGAGAATATGACGTAAAACAGATATAAAAAACAAAAGAAACGGTTGAAAACCGGATAAAAACGCTGCAAAGAGGGCTGAAATCTTTCATTCGGCGGCTTTTTGGAGTGCAAGTTTTCGCTCCAGGAAAAGCAATTCGCAACGAGGTTTTGGTTTTTGATATGTCCTTTGAATTTTTACCCCGCAATGACGTTCCTGTTTTCTGGGACGTTGTCTGGATTGTTGTGCTTATTGTTCTGAGCAATATTTGCCCAGGTTGGAAAAAAATCGATGCGAAAGCACTGAAATAGAGTAAGATGAAGAAAAACGCACTTTTTGCGATTTTTCATGAAAAATTCCGCCACAATCGAAGAGGTAAGGGCTGGGTGGTTGTCTGCATTATGAACAGAAGCAAGATCTATAGAATGCACGAAAAAACCGCATGAAAATATTTGAACTAGGAGGATAACAAGAGATTTTCGAAAACAAGGTTTTTGACGCATTTCTCGATCAAATCAAAAAATATGGTTCTGGGACGTTGTCAGCATGAAAATAGAGATCAAGAGCTTCAAAATGATTTATAGCCTGCTAAAGTTAGGTTCGAAACAGCGAAGAAAAGGGTACCAGAGCCAAATGCCCGCGCCCCGCGTTTGGGGTAGCGAGGTAGCGCGCAGCGCGCGGAGACGCAGACAAGCAGCGGAGCCAGACCAGAGCCGACGGAGCATTTGGCTCTGGTAGTAAATCCCCGCGGGGTCTGAACGAAATCCTACAACATTATATACCATTTCAATCGTCATGACACAGCGAGGAAAAGTGACAACGTCCCAAGCTTTGAAAACCACTCTTTAGTAAGATGAACCAGCGTTTTCGTGCGCGAATCTCTGCGCAGGATTCAAGAGCAGTTTCTCAGTATCTCGTTTTTATTTAACTCCAATAGCTTTCCTAAACTTTTGATACTCGATTTTATTTAAATGAAAGGATAACTGAGAAATTTTGCTTTGAATTTTGGCGAACAATCCACAGAAACTTCTTTCTAAAGTAAAAAAGGCTATGAAAACGCAAATTCTCGGTTTCGCTGAGATAAGCCCAAGATATCCCCTATATTTGCTTCACTAACATTCGTTCCGATATAGTTAGGATATTAACATCCGGGGCGAAGCTCCGGATGACTTCTGTTTTTTTTTTCAGGTGAAGGTTGTGTCCCCTCCCCCCCCCCCCCATAGCCCTCAAAGTGAAGGTTACCAGAGTACGTGGCTCTATGTATCGAGGGTATGCATGCGAGTGTTCGCACCAGCTTCAGCATATGTTAAAAGCCGAAATCTGAGATTTAAATGTCCAAAAACTGACTTCTATAACTCTGTCCGAAAAAAACTTACCGGATCCCAAACTCGCTCACGCATATATATGCCAAATAAGACATTCATGTGTGCCGTCGCAGTGTTTGTTTCTGTGCTATAAATAAAGAAAACCAAGATTTTCAAGCTTCCAAAAAAGCGATGCTGCGCTGTTTTCACACAGGCAGATGTATACTACAGTCCTTTAGAAGTGTAATCACAAATTTTCAGTTTTTTATAAGCTCTACTTTGCAAGAAATACTTATTTCAACATAAATTACCCTGGCGAAAAAGCTAAATTCAGTATTTCTTAAGAACTAGCGCTTCCAGGAAGCTGAAAATTCACTGATGTATTACTGATGGCCTGTAGTATACATCTGCCTGTGTGAAAACAGCGCAGCATCGTTTTTTTGGAAACTTAAAAATCTTCGTTTACTTTGTTTCTGGCACAGAAACAAACAGTGCAACGGCACATATGCTCAGACAATCGCCGGGGGCAGGCGGGCACCGGAAAAATAGATTGCTGATTTCTCGCACCCCGCTCGCGGATATTTTGAAAAGCAATCAGGACTTTTCGGGACGCCGCTTGCTGAGTTCTCGATTCCTCAAAGATGCAGCTATATATCCGCGAAAAAAGATTCAACAGGCGGTCTCTCAAAAACTCGCTGACCATTTTCCTGAAATTTGCGAGCGGAATGCGATATTTCAGCAACGCGTATTTTCGGGCGCCCGCTTGCCCCGGCGATTGTCTGTGCGAATGTCTTATTTGCAGTGTATATGCGTGAGCGAGTTTGAGATCCGGCAGGCTTTCTTTGGACAGAGTTATAGAAGATTTAAGTTTTTGGATATTTCTAAGTTTTCAGATTTCGGCTTCTAACTCGTGATATGCTGAAGCTGGTGCGAACACTCGCATGTTATTTTATGGAACTTCTTTGCTCTATCGAGCGGTACCCTGCATTTTGATCAGAATAAAGAACTGTGCGATTTATTGCACAAAAAAATCAAAATTGAAAAAACTTATGAGACAACCCAATATATCGTCTATTCCCGCGATAGAAGGGGAGTGTCACTGCACAAGTCCGCAAACTCCGTAAGTACGGTATTAGCAACGGCGCAGAATCGATATCGCCAAACACTTGATCATTTTCCAACTCAACAAGGATGGGTGAGTTTTTCTTTGACGGGAGTTGCTGGAAGTGAGTCGTAAACGTCCAACTACACTTGTTTCATAACAGTTTCTCAGTTTTGACGCAGTGTTAGTGCGGTTTTGCATCATAGCTGTATATTGCGTGCTATTACTTCTTCTTTTTTACTTATTAGTGTGTTTATGGAATTTGTTCTTACTATGCCATCGAACCACTTCACTATGCTTACCTGTACTTCATGTTTATGTTGTCGTGCAGGGTTTGAGATTCAAAGGTAAGTCTCCAAATTAAAATTACATTTCTCTTCAATTTCGATAAAGTAAATGAAATGCTAAAAGCAAATCCCATAAACACGACTAACAAGTAAAAAAGGAGAAGTAATAGCACGCAATATATAGCTATAATGCAAAATCGCACTGACGCTGCGTCAAAACTGAGGAACTATTATAAAACAAATGTGATTGGACGTTTACGACGCACTTCTAGCAACTTCCGACAAGACCTGAAAAGAAAAGCACGGTTGGCTGCAAAAAAGCTCACCTATCCTTGTTGACTCGGAAAATTATCAGCTCTTTTCGGCGATATCAATTCTGCGCCGTTGCTAATACCGTACCAGTCAGACGCTTACAACTTGTGCAGTGACACGCCCCATCTAACGCGGGAAGTAGACGATATGTGTGCATATTTGGCGCTGATTCATCCACACACAAAATTTCTGTAAAGAACATGCTAATAACAATTTACCAATAATCATTTATATAAAATACCGATCATAATTCGTCAAAAAAGTCGCCGGACTGCGGCGGACTGCCGGAGTGCGGCAGAGTGCGCCACACTCCGACGAGTCCGTCGGAATGATCGTTACATCGCCATATCTTGCTTCAGAATGGACGAATTCTGAATCCGAAGACGCCGTTCGATTCAGCTCGGCGAGACGCATCATCATATATATGAAGCTGAAAGTCTGTTTGTCTGTACATATGTTTCGAATAGAAAATTCCACTTCTAAACCTATCAGGCTGGGAGTTGGCACAGGGGGAGGGTAAGTGAGCATGGGGATTCCGAATACAATATTAGTTTTCAGAATTATCGGTGATTATTTTGGTTGAATTCAGTGTGCTGATAACAGTATTACCATTGATCTGTTGCTGATGACACATAGACAGCACCGACCGCGAACAAATAGAAGGGAAAACAATTTATGCCCTTCGCAATGCGGAAATGAACTCGAAAGGCACCCACGTTAGGGAGGCTTCTCGCGTGAAGTTTTGACGATTGGTGAGCTTGAAGAACGAACTTGACGTAACAGGAGAAGAAGAACGGCCTAGGCCGCCGGTCTTCAAAAAAGGCCTCCACGGCGTGTTCGGCTCAACCGCTCTTTCGGCCCTTCGTTACGCAGTTGAGACTTGGGCCAACACTGAAACAATGTCGAAAACTCTATGGCCCATTTATAGAGCGCTCGAGAGCAGTCTTGGGAGATGGTTTGACACAAGCGACATTTCGTTGGACTTTCCAGGGACATGAAAAAAATGTTCCGTCTTCATAACTCAATGGACGAAAGCGAAGCAAACGAAGCATTGATGGCAGGATAGACGCCACATAGGCGCTAAGAGCACTGAAGCAAATTCCTAGCAAAACCTATTTGAGGAAGACCAAAAACGAGGTGGGTAGGAGTGTTCTAAGAATGGATAGAAAAACTGAGACATTAACACAGACACAATCTTTCCACCTGGCGCTCTTAATTGCAGCTACCGTTGACAAATAAGAAGATCATGATATCTCAAGCGAGGGACAGAGACATATGGAAGCTTTTATGCTCGGGTCCGCGCGCCATGTGATGACAGACCATCAGGGTGTCCAAATAAGTAAAAAAGTAGCATGACTTGCAGTGACTTCTATCTGGCCTTTTGCTGCACCGTGCTTGAAAGATAGGAGCGATGGCGGAAAACATAGGAAGACATAGAAAGCTTATAAATTCTCATCTTCGTGTGTCTTGCCGTTAAAAAGGGCTTTTGAATTTTTGGAATCCAAATAAAAATTTTTTCAACTCTACTTTGTAGCACTTTTTTATATCAATGACTGCTATAACAACCAACAGCATTGGAGAGTGAATAAGTACGCCTGAATTGCTTATTCGTGACTATTTTTTACACTTTTTAAGCACTTCCCAGCTGAGGTCCATTCTTTTGGATGAACAAGGGCGACTCTCTCCGTATTTCTTGCCCAGAGGCCCTCTCAAATTTTATTCTTGCAAGACACCGGCTGAGCTCATACATTTCTTAAAATTGCTGGTGTCAGAATTGGGATCATGCTGAAAAAGCTATTCGTGATAACGACGCTGAGCGTACACGAACTAGACACTCGATTCTTTAGATCTCAAACAGGTGTAGTAGTTTTTACGCTGTCTGGAACATCACCAAAATACTGTGGTCTGTTTTGAGTCTACAATTTGGCTATGAATGTTAATTGTTAAGTATTTGCTGCAGAAGCAGATACTATGCTGCTAGAATATTATATCGAATGCAAACCTTTAGCATGACTTCCCGTCCCACCGGTAGACTATCTCGCAGATGAAAGCTAACCTTTCCGTGAGCGTGATCAAAATCAACCTCTTCTATATCGACAGCTTTGCCATTCTAAATACCATAGGTAAATATTTGTAGAATTGAGATGCTTTTTGGATTGCGAAGATCAACCAGTTCACTCCAGTTCACTGCAGCTTAGGTAGCAACAAGAGGTTAGACCAAAATTCGGCGCTACGTACGTCATTGCACACTAGCATGCTTAGACAAATTTAAGTTTGTTCAGCTCTCTTGAATGAGAGTGAAGTCTACGATATACCTTGAGTGTTGATTAAAACGCCAATAAGAACACTGGCTTTTTCGAGCAAAAACCGTCTTTTGCCTGTTTTTTGAAAACAATATTTCGGGAACCTGTAATTTTTGATAGGATCTTCTAAATATTGTCAGAAGTCTCGCATCGGCCTGCCTTGAGGACGCGGACAGCTTTCAGTACATGGGGGCGGAGCCTGATAGGATTTACGCGGGGCTTGGAAGCACTTCGGCCGTTCCAGGCCCTTTATCTCCATTCAAAGACAACACTAGAGGACCGGACCACGCAAATGCCCCTCTCGTGGGGCCGTCATTCAGAATCGGCACTGATCGGAGGGGGTTAAATTCAGCCTGGACACTGCTTTTAAACAAGATAGTTGCCTCTTAGGCAAGGTAAATTCAAATTCTTTTGAATCTGTACATGAAAGGATATTTGGTCGAATTGGCCACACTGGAAAAAATGTTAATGAATTAGTTGCTCTTACGTCAATCTCAGTTTATTTTCATTATTTCATTTTCGACATGCTACGATTTTTTTGTATGATGTCTTGGATGACCTTTGCATATCTTCTGGATGTTTGGATGTTTTCGTTTGATTTTTTGGCGCACTTTTGTGTATAACAATAATCCACAAATATTTGCTTTCCTGTGAAAGGAGTTGTAAGCTCTTTCTCCACAAAAATCGTCTCCGCTCTATCAAAGCGCGGGATACTTTGAATGTGGGTCTGCATTGCGAGTGAATTGATCTCGCTGAAAAACACTAGAGTTTGATACCTGTTACCAATAACTTCTTTGCATTTGTTTCAAACATACGTTTTCTTTCAACAAGTCATATAATGACAGATAACAGGGTGTACCAAGATCATGTACGCTGTTTAATAGTTAATATCTTTTTTCCTAAAAATTTTTGCCTACACTCAGCTACCATTTTGTAATTTGCTTCAACTTAGCCCGTATGCACCAACATCCCCGCGGCGAGTGGAGCGGCGTTCCCCATTATGAAAGGGCCGCGAGCGAATGCCACGCCGGCCTCTTCATCATTGGGGACGCCGCTCCCCTTACCACAGGGATGTTATTGCATACGGGCCTTAGAGATACAACATGCGACAACACACCGATCGCTCCTTGTTGCTGTAAGATTACGGTGAGAATTTTTAGCATACAACTCCGTTGTGCAAAAGGCCGTTAGAAGATTTCGAAAAATATGAACAATTGTGGTTTGAGGTTTTCACGCATGCTGGCTTCATTGCATACTTTTTTGAGTACTTGAGGTTTCATAATGATGCAATCACTTTTTGAAAGATTAAAAACGGTTCTAACAGTATGCTCTGCATGTCATATAAACGACGCATTGCAGTAAAGTGCAAATTTGTTGTAGCTCAGCGGTGCTGAGTAGCCTAGCGTCAAGCTGTCAGCATGTTTGGTTTTCTTTCTAAGGCAATGTGTGGTTCTTGATAGCTCAAATCCTTTTTCAAAGTTTAGTATTTTATAAGGTAGAACATGTGCGTACTGTTTTGATATTCTTTGAGAAAAGAGTGCGAAATGATCAGTCAAGCTGAGACCATCGTAGTTTTCATTATATAGCTTTCCCAGAAAGAATGACGTATGTTCGAGAAAACTGCAAAAGCACAGCATGCAACAGAAACGTGTCTGTTGCATGTGGGCAAAGTCACTCACCATTACATTAACTCTATCGCAGTACCTCTCGCCCCTGGGGAGATGATTTTGTGGGAAAAACGCAACCGCTCACACAAAATTTGAAATCAGTATTTTAAGAACTGCTCATACTTCGATAGTCCAAAGCTAGGACCTTAAAAGTGAGGGCTGTTTGAATATTCGCCTTTCACATAAAGTAAAAGTTGCTTAAGAAAATACTCGGTTGAGATGCAAAACAGAAAGGCATAGCGAAAGAAACTTCTGGGAAACGTATAGAAACGCTGCAAGAGTGTTCAAATCTTTTATTTGGCTGCATTTCGAATTGAAGGTTTCTGCTCCAGGACCAGGCAATCCACAACGCGGGTTGGGGAGGGGGTGGGAGAGGAGAGATGAGAAAAAACTAACTTCTTTTTTTTGTGATTGTTTCAAAAAAAAACCATGTTTTGGAAGTGTTCTAGAGGAGAAGATAATAAAAGAATTAGTTGTGAAATCCCCAAATTTGGTTTTTACCAAGTTGAAGTGCACGTCAAAGCCAATTCAATTTCGTACTGAATTTTTCAGCATTGTCGCTGTTTGCTGCGACGTTATCTAGATTGTTGTGCTCATTATTCCGAGCAGTGTCACAGTTAGCGATTGGAAAAAAACCGCTGCGAAAACAAAAGAGAAGAAAGTAAAGAAAAACGCATTATTTGGGATTTTTCGCAATAAATTCGCCATAATCTAAAAAAGTAATCTTTGCGACGCTGTCTGCATTATAAAAGGAAGCAAGATCAATCGAATGCAAGAAAAATACGTTTAATGATTTGAACTAGGAAAAAACAGAGATTTGCCACAACACGGTTTTTGCCAGATTTCTTGTTAGATTCGAAAAATGGGGTTTTGCGCCATTGTCAGCGACAAAGTAGAGATGAAGAGCATTTTGATATACAGTTTGCTAGAATTGGGTTTTAACAACAAGGAAAAGAGGGGTGGGGGAACGAAAGCCGCCAGGTCCAGCCGCCTCCGCGGACTGCTGGTCCTGGAACAACATGCAACAACGCTGCGAAAGGACCAGCTGGCCGCGAAAGGCGGCTGGACCTGGCGGCTTTCGTTCCCCCACCCGGAAAAGAGTACATAGCAGAGCCATGCCCTATGCCCGCGTTTGGGGTAGCATGGTAGCGCGCATTGCGCGGCGCAGACGAGCAAAGGAGGAAGACCATAGCCGACGGGCATTTGGCTCTGGCCGGAGATTTCCGCGGGGTCCCAACGGGACCCTGCAACATCATATATCAGATCGTCATGGCTCAAGTAGAAGCAGCGACACTATCGCAAGCGTCGATAGCGTCTCATTAACGAAATAAGCCAGCATTTTCGTTCGCGACTTTTTGCGTAAGATGTAAGCGCATTTTCTTTTTTGTTAAATTTCAACAGCTTTTGTGAACTTCTGGAACTCAATCGTAGTCTAAAATGAGTTTAAGCGGGAGAAGTCTTGAATTCTGGGAAAGTTTTCGCAACAACCTCCTCTTTAGTGTATAAATAGCTATGAAAACGCAGTTCATTTTGCTGGAATATTTTTGAGATGCGATCACTATACTCACTTCGTTCACATTTATTCAGTCACATAACTATAACATCCGCGGCAAAGCCCCGAATGACCTCCAGTCTTTTTTCTGGTGAACTGTGTTCTCTCATCGTACTCAAAGTGAGCCAGAACATGGCTATATGTAATGAACGTATGGAGCTATTACTCCACACGTATGGCTACATCAGCTGACAAAGGAATGATACTTGGTCGAAGCGGCCTCTTTAAAGGAAATGCATACTGTCTTAGAAAGAGGGGAATGGTTTCAAAATTGACTTCGATTTAGGCCCCTGTGAGAGGAGTTGCTAGAATTTTTGTGATAAAAGTTTAATAGTATGGCTTAGGTAAAAACAACTGTTGAAGTCTTTTCAGTGCCCTAAGGGAGTTATGATAAGGATGGTTTTGCCAAGCATGGTGTCCATGCTCTGTCGATCATCATTGTCTTAAACGCTTACACGGTACAGTTTTGAATAATTTTATTGTTGCCGCGCGTCGAATTTTCTGCTTTAGAGACTTCCACAAATTTCTCGCATACGCTTAACAGGGAACACAGATTAGAGCCAGCTGTAGGCTTTATACGTAAATAATACTTGAAGTAAGAAGGCCACATCGACCAAGTATCCGAAATATATGACCAATTTTTACAAGTATGCTTGCGCTGTTCTAAGCTATATTCATGTTCAAAACTGATGTCACGTCTAATTATAAACTGTGGGGCGCCATTATTACATCAGTAGCAAACAGCATCTATCCAATTTGCGATTGCATGTTAATCTGATGTAAAACGTTGGTCTTGATGTTACCGGAGCGCATTCAAACATTGCCACAAATAAAGCAATTTGTGAAAAGAGGTCAGAGCAGCGCTAATAATTGCAGTGCCTTTTTACATTCGGTAAATTTTCGAATTTTCACTACAAATGTTTTTGATGTGAATTTCTAACAAAACCTTATGCACAGAGCCTTAATAACTGTGCTCATACATAAGTAAATACAAACACGCATAGTTTTCGTGGTTAGAAGCAAAAGGGGGGGGGGTCTTAGCAATCTTAAGTTTTTCAACGTGGTACTATAAACTTCAAAAACCGGTCGTATACATGCACATCGCATGATCTGTTCAAAAAATTACAAAAATAAACTTGAAAGTACGGGATAAATTACAAGTCAATTTAACACGTCAATGTATTGCAAATCAATATTTTCGCCCTTTACTGTGATCTTTACATGAGCGCCTTTCATTACAATTTTTACGCTTTTGGTTTTTCAAGCTGTAACTGTCAATGTCATTGATTGCTGTTTCACAATGAAAGATGAATTCGCGCAGTAAATCAATACGGATCGCAGCTCCCAAGTGCCTATCGAAATATAATATCAAACAACTTACTGAAGTTGCACTGCATTTTTCTTTTATTATGGAAATTCCTGCTTGGTTGAGGACTATGGTATTGGTTGGTTTGCGTACGGTCATATTGATTGTCACTTCTGCATCAATTGTCAGATTTTTCCTTATCGGAATATCCACGTAGAACGGCAAATATACTGTGAGAACGAGCTCATATGACGCTGAAGCAGAGTCATTCAGAAGGGAACCGACAAAAAAGTAAGTTTTATGTTGCAGGTTTGTACTGAGCTGCACTATTGACATGCTGTAATTCTGATTTTTTGAAAGCGAATTAACATGCAGGGAAAAATTTCAAAGCCGTAAGACTTCAAGTATCAAACAATGTGGTACTTATTTTACTAAAAACAAATTTTGCATCAGAAATTTGCTTTTACAGCGCGACACTTACGAAGATAGGTTATACTGAGATAAGATACCTCAGATCGGACATAGGGTATCCTAAATCCGCGGAAGGAAGCATATTCCCTTGTGAAATGCGAGCAGCTCCACCGCTCGCTGTGACTATGTAGCCGAATGCTCGCTCTTCCGCACTCTTCTTTTAGGTAAGCAGCAGTACGTAGGGTTTTTCGCGAAATTCCTTAGCATGTCCTGATGGTCTCAGGGGTTGAGCCAGAGCGCGGCATTCACAACGCACGAGCGTATGCAGTTTACGTTCCCTATTATTGTGCACGTGCGCGCACCCTGCATAGGTCGAGTACGCAGCGCAGGCCTCCGATCTGAAAACGACAGCATCTTGTGCTCGTGAAATTAGGATATATATTGAAACTTTCTCTGCATCTATGTAAACTATGTAATTATTCAATGTGCAAATAGTATAGGCTGTCTCAGAATGTCAAAGCAAAATTGGTTCGGACCCTCGCGGCCGTTTCGCTTGGGCCGCGTTTGCGGTATCCACTAAGTGTTTTCTCACGCTTCGACAGCACTTGTGCTACCGAGAATTAATGACCATCTTGTGTAGGACCCACGTTAAAAGCGGCAGCGAAGGCTTAGGCACTAATGGTGTGAGTACTCAGAACTTGGAAGCCTATGTATAACAAGTTGCTCAATCACGGCAGAATGTCTGAGCTACGTCGCAGATTGTACAAGGTGTCCCAAAAGTCTTTGTGCTTAACTTCCCAAAGTAAAAACTTTGTTAGGTATTCCTCGCTTTTCAGTCAAATTTTTGCGTATGAGTACTTCGTTTAGTTTCTAGTTTTCCTTAAAAAACATATTTCGCGCTGTACATTCTCAAAATATTGCTTTTGGAGCAAACAATACTACGATTTTGAGGATGACCCAATGTTAAAGTACCCTTTACTCAAACCTTTATAACTAATTTGCTCTTGAAGTTTTTGCGGAAATCTAAACTGCACATTGTAAAGCTAGGCTTCACTCTATGTCTACAGTGCAAAACTATTGAACAGTCTCTATTCGTTAATGCAGGATTAAGATACAAAAAAAATTGCTGTTTCCCTGATGTTCTCAAGAAATTGATTGCTACATTTTGACACTTTTGTTGAATCTCACAGACGTGCTTCACAGAACAACGTGCTTTTAATTGCCGGCTCGAGAGCCTTTGACTTTTCTTTGTGATCAGCCATGGAAAGCAAGGTTTGCTCAGTTCCGCACCAAATTCTGGGCAGTCTAGAACGCTTGCTCTAGAAGATTCGAAACATTCTCGAAGACAATTATCCGTCTGTCGTCTTTTGTTACGGTGCATGCGTTCCGCAAAAGTGTGAGGGCTTGTGTGAAGGGTTTTTTTCGAAAACTGAGTGTACCGTATTATTTTACGAGCAGGCATCCCGGGTTTCAGTCCGGTTTGGAGCCAATCTATCAGTCTAAACTCCCCATCCTGCACACCCTGCACAGCTTGCACAACCTGCGCATCCTGCACACCCTGCACATCCTGCACATCCTGCACATCCTGCACATCCTGCACACCCTGCACAACCTGTACCCGAATGCGCACAAATAAATTCACAGATTTTCTGCTTTATATATATAGAGATAGGTTCTTCATAATATTCCTGCAAAGTTTCATGTGACAATGTTGTTTCGTACAGTTGCAGCTGAAGAAATATTAGGCTTGAAGACTTTTGGGACACCTGTATAGATGCCATGCGTGATTGCTTTGTTTGAGGATGAGGATGTGCGTAAGGGGAGTTTGCTTCATCTGTAAGCATGCTGTTACCCCCAATAACATATTTTTGCACAGCAGACGTTTCGGTTTGGTTACCGTCTCATACACTTTTTATTTCTAGACCGGTGTTTCACCTCCGCCTCATAGGCTTTGCCCATACTTCACTCGTGTTACCCGTGTTACCGGTGTTATTAGTGTTACTCGTATTACTCGTGTTACTTGTGTTACCCGGTTCCAGTGTTATCCCTGTTACTCGTGTGACTAGTGTTAGTCGTACTCACACCCAGTGAGATTGCTGAGATTGTATTGTGATCATTTCCATATTCAACAGCATAAAAGCGGTAACACTGGTAACACTAGCAACACGAGTAACCTTGGTAACATCGGTAACACGGGTAACACGCGTAAAGTATGGGCTCGTCTCGGGTTGATTCCACTTCTTATTTTCATTCCACTCTAAGCCTAAAGTGCCCAAATCGCTTCTGCACAGATGCTATGCTTCCGTACTTGACAATTTAGAGTCTTGCTATCCTCTAAATTCTATCTTCATCCAGATCTAGTCAGCTAATTTCGTAAGCTCGCTGGCACTCAGAAAAGGGTTTTAAAAATAATTTAGAGAAATGCAAGATTCTAAAGCTGTTTTTTTCCTCAAAGCAATATCGCGTACTCTCATCAATATTTGTCAAATGGGAAACGCTATATCCAGTAGGGCTTAGGCTTTGGTTTGCCTATACGTTCACCATTCACCTCCTAATGCCTTGGCAAGCTGGTATCATTTTGTTCTACATGTCTGAGTTTTGTCTTTTTCTTGTTGGTGAACCTTAATGTATCAAGACCTTATAATAACGGGCTAAGGGTTGTTTACGTGTTTTTGTGTGTGTGTCCGTCTGTTACGAAATTGGTAGAGCGTGTTCTAGCCAGCGTTCTAAGCCCAAATTTTGCACAGCGCGTGCTACCTTCATGAAAGTCCAACATGCAAAAGCACGAGTAGATTCGTTGGGTGGATCCCTCAAAAATTGCGCGCCAAACGGTCCCACCTGGCTTCTGTGCCGCAAAAATGGGTCCTTATCACTACTTTTTGCAAAGTCGAGGATGTGGTTGATAAGGAAAAGTGCAAGTGATGGACTTTAGCCCGAAAAGTGGTCAAAAGTTTACTACAAAAGAACGAAAACGGCGCCAAGAAGAATTGATTGCGTAAATGGTCAATTTGCCAGGGTTTTAGCCAAGCATTTGAGAAGATTTTCGCACAAAAATGTAGCTCACGATTACTATTGCCCATATGGCGACTACCAAGCCATGACAACTTCAACCTACTCAAATTTACGTTTGTCTCCCTGCGAAAAGTTTCATCCACGCGAAATCACCGATCTCACGTGAAAAATTCTTTAAATGAGTAGTTGTTTGCATTTTATTCGTGGTAGTCGGCATAGCGCGGTGAGTTCCAGTGCGATTTTACGAGAATGAGTAAGGTACACAAATAGCAGAGCCAGTGCGAGCCTCTGCGAAGCAGGGGTGACGCTGGATAGTAAAATAAAATGGGATAAATCATCAAACATCAGAGCATGTTGTTAGAGCATTTGCCTACCTTTCTCACGTTCCTAATCGCGAAATCGCGCGCGTAGCAGATTAGCGCGCTGCAGCATGTGTAGCACACATTGGGGGACTTTTTTCGTTGCATAATTCTAGATTAAATGCGTGGAAAACTTACGCTAGGGTGATGTGTCTTGCACTTCACTTTTACGTATTTCAAACCGTTCGAAACTTGACTCATAATTCTACATAATGCCATGGCTCTGTGACCATTCTAGAATTGGCGAATTTTAAAGTTTGTGAATCTTTCAAACTTAGACCCTTGGGTTATCTGGCAGGATGGTCACAAATATCACACTCAAATAAGTAAATCTATCAACAGTATACCCACTATTGCTTTAGAAAATTGCGCGTTTTTGCAAAATCAACAGGATATTTGTGACTAGCGTCTAAAAGTGGTTGAATCGGTGATTTTGCCCGTATCCTAAGCCTTCCTTTCATAACTATACAAGAAAGATTTTCGTTTTTCAAAATGGGTAAGTTTGTTTCCTGGTCGGATCTTGTACTCTCCTTTGTCTTGCATCAGCAGAATCCCCTCAAAAATGCGATTTTCTCAGCTTAAAAAAAGCGCGAGGTTGTTCTGCCGCACTCGATGTCGCAAACCTGCATCTGCAATAATTTTCTGTCGATCATGTGCAGCGCGGTCAGAAATGTGTTAATCTGAGTGATTTGAAGATGGGTGGAAAACAATACAAACTTTTGAATTGATTTGATATATTAGGTTGCTGCATAAGTTCTGTCCTATTTTTTTGCTTTATGTTTGAAGCAACTGTTCTAAGAGAATTTCATCTTTGACGCGGTACTGTTAACATCATAAGAAAGTGCTTTTCTTGCGCTTTCTAAAGCATATCAAACTCCTGTAAATTTTTAGTGTAAGGAGATTTTAGGCCAAAAATCCAAGCGACCGAGGTACGTTCTCACCCTATAAATACGTTCTTGCGAGGTAATCTCCATGTTGAGCCCTTCAGGTCAAGTCTTTTAATTGGTCGCGGAATACGGGTGTAACAGGCTAGCATACGCATAAGTTCAGTTTCATGGAGAAAACGTTTTGCTAGTAAAATTTATTGTCAAACAATAATTTTCTGTATAGATTTTTACAAGTAATAACTTTCTGCGAATAGAAGTAATCGACAACTTCAAAGTTGGAGGCGCTAGGGTAAAGCAAGGACTAGCAGAGTTCATCCACCAATTTCTTTTCGGCGCTCACGTCAATTGTAATTTACATAATTCGTAAATAGGCATGCACACATCCGCTGAAGCGAGGTCAAAAAGTGGCTGCTCTTTCGCTCGCTCAAAAAAAAACCCCCGGTAGCGCAGAGCCTATGGGATTTTTTAGGGTGCAAAATAATCTATAAAAAGTTCTCTATCAATCCCTTTTTAGACAAGATGCCTATCAATTCTCATAAGGGAGCATTGCCATGTCAAAAAAAGACAAGTTTGAAGAAAAACGCTGTGAAGCTTTTGAGTTCTTGCTTCTTCCTTAACAAAGATTTTTGCAGGTTCAATATGTGTCTGGTTGCCAAGGATTTGCTCAACACACGGAAACTAAACAGGGAACCGTGTCGAGTCGAAGTGGCCTTTCCAGATGGGACCCATACTGCTTTGAAGAGCATTAATCGTTGATTCCAATTCTGCTCTCCAAATCTGCCAAGCACCTCTGGACGCCGAGTTATGCTCGTTTTTCAGGTCAGTAAATTGAACGCAAAACTGACGCAAAATCGCCCAAATTTGCTCAAATGGTCTAATGTCAAGTACCAGAGCTGTTTATGCAATGGATACATTTTATTTATTATGCTAATACTTAACATTGCTTTATCTGAGCGCTGGAAAGATTGTAACAATCAATTCTACCTAAATTCTGCATTCATATTTCGTTCCGAAGAACGGTCATAACTCGGCGTCCAGAGGCGCTTGGCAGATTTGGAAGGCAGATTTGGCATCACCGCTTAATACTCTTCAAAGCAGTATGGGTCTCATCTGGAAAGGCCACTTCGACTCGACACGGTTCATTTCAACTTTTTACCTTAGTGCCTTCTCTTCTGACTTCTAAGGAAACTTCAGAACAGGTTTTTATAGAACAAAGCAAGCTCCACAGAGTGGTCTCTACATTCGCACAAAGTTTATTTTACATTAAATTGAAACTTGAAATCTCAAAACGTTTAAAAGCTCAGAAAAATTCAGACTTTAGTTGAATAATTCCTAAGCAAACCTCTAGCTTGTTCACGATCTGTTGCGTTCAGCTATATAATTCATATGCACACCTTCTGTATTATAAATGGAGATAGAAGTAGTCCAAAGATAAGAAAATGTTTTTAGGACTTTTTAACGTTAAGTTTCACATTTTTTGGAAGCTATCGCTCTTATAACACACTGACGATCACACAAAGTTCTACTTGTTTGCCTTTTGCCAAGTCTTTTCGCAAAGCAGTCAAATTTTTTGAAAAACCATGCATATTACCACTCGCAGTATATCTAGGGTGACTCTGGAAGGAAGACAAAAAACAAGGAGGTTGATTTTGGATCCGACGCAAAGGGTAACTCCTAAGTGAGTTCTTCCTAAAATAGTATCCTTTTTAGAATATCCAAACCTTGACACACCAGATGTGTCAAACAGTCGTCAACGTGAGATAATGGGTAAAAAGTCGTGGTTAGTATTATCACGCTACAGAATCATGGGGAAAGATTCCAGCATTGCTTTTGAAAAGTGCGAAAAATTTCTTATTTTCCAGAAGCTAAAAAAAACAAGCTATGCATATAGATGTTAGATGAAGAGTGTTCTCTTGAAAAATTTTCACGGATTTTTGCGTTTTTTCCTGAACATGATGTGAAACTTGCTTTGTAGAAATGTTTCAACGCCTTTATGTAGAGCTTGGTTTGTTTCGTTTACTAGCCTAGAAAACGACTTTTGGACCAAGTTCAAATGATGACAATGCGTCACCTCTGCGAAAGAGAGGTTCGCACCAATTCTAATGCACCCTCGCGTTTGCCCGATGATGACTTTGAAATTCATTGCGCAGTGCTGAACATCGCAAACGATTTGTAAACATCTGCTTATTTCTAATTCCTTCCATGTACAGTCGGTAACTTTGGGTGTAAGAAACTTTCTACAAAAGAACAAAAGCAGATTTGGATTAGTTACAAACATGCAAAGCTAGCTACGTTTGCGCAGCAAAGTCTTGTTGACGTTGTGTTCTCTGGAGCTGAAGTGTTGAAAGGATAATTTGGGAGACCTATAGCCAGATTGCGTTGCACTTCAAAAAAATGAAATAAAACTCCTATATTTTACACGACACCTAGTCATGAAGCGAGTATAGCAATCATGCTTACAAGGCACAAGAGTTTTTGGAAGACGGTATTCTTGTGGAAGGACATAAACATTTTTCTTCTCTATCGCTTTCGTTCCTTCGCCTTTTTGTGTTGTTGTCGTATCCGCTATTTCACCTTTTTCTGATCTGTAAGATAAAAGGTCATTAAAAAAGGCAAAAGCTCTTCTTTGTATGTTTAATGGCCAGATCCCTTCAGGTTGCTAAGGCCTCTACCAAGAAGTTTTCGAATGTGTGTTGAAAACAGACGAGAGAGTAACTACTTATACATCTAACAGTAATGTTTCACAGTACTCAGAGTTAAGCCATATTTCATGAAGTGTATAGATGCGCAGCAGTTTCTTTTAGGTGCACGCTTAGCAAGCCTGACTGCATGTCAAGTATGCTGGTCTTTGGCTAGTTTTTTGCTTTGTATGATTGATGCCGTCTATATCCTCCTTCTTCTCCCAAAGTAGCCTTCTTCTGACTGTTGTGTTTGATGTCTTAGGGGAAGTATAGTAGCTTAAATCAAAGAAACACGTGAAAGAAAACTTGAAACACACAGGTTAGCTACTGAAAGCCGAGCGTGCTTGAGCCAAAATCGTGACATTATGGTGAATCCCACAAAATATCTAAGTAATTATCGGAACACTTAATTTCTCCTACACTTGTGTCACTAACAAAAAAGATTTGCAGATTTGTCAAAACACCAATATAATGGGTTGGGCAACTTCAGTAATGTCATCAAATTTTGTTCTGCTTTATTTGAGTCAATTCCCATGGTGCTTGCCTTCAAACGCTTAAAACCAAAAAGTTGTCAAGTCTTCGAATGGCAAACATGACAATTTTGTCACCAAAATTTGAACAGCTTGAATTGATTTGTAGTTCTAACCGCATTCTACGCAATGCAAAAAATCAAGCGCCTTATTGAGACAGGGGAAAATATAAAAGAACATGCATTAGCTAAAAAAAACTTGCTCATATCACTCAATATTTCTATTTGATCCTTTCACTTTTGAAAAATTGCCATCTTTTTAATCATATCAGATAAAAATGTTGTGTTTAACGATAAGTCTGAAGCCACTTTGAAGTGTCACACAACGAAAGAGCTCATATCTTTGACTTCTATAACAATCAATAATTTTAAATCTTTTTGTAACGTTTTTCATGGGCCCACACAATTTAGCTGTACGTTGGAGTTACTCTAATAATTTGTGCAGGATTTGGTCCTATTTCATAACCTTTCCCATTTCTTTTAATTTTATGTATGGCAACAAGAAATGAAAAAAGGTTTTGTCTTTGGGCCTCATCCAGATTTCTTTGGAGCTATGGAAGCTTGTTCACTGCAATTTTACTCAATCAGTTTAATCAGTTTACCGCAGAAAGTGTGAAATGGGAAGTGGGAGAATGGGGGGGAGGTGTACGGATGGAGCCTTCAAAGGGGGAGGATCGTAGAAGAGAATCCAGATCGCATCAACACGTTTGACTCTCGTTCGCACATTAACTGAGCATGTCAAGGTAAACACGACATCATCTAAGCTGGAGCAGTTTCCAGGAAGTTCCGAACCATGAAGCGTTCGCATTCTAGGTAAGAACCAAATGTAATCAATCATTTTCTCTGTACATAATTGTTCTTCAAAAAGCGAAAATGATAACAAACGCATGTAGAACAGTATCTGGAAGTCAAAACCGCTCAAACTCATTTTAGAGTTCGCTTTGCATATGTGTGTTCAAGAAGTTAGAGTGGTTACCTATCCACGAATGGTTCACTACTTAAGAAAGGTAAGAAAAGGATCAAGCTCGTTGATCACGCGTGTACAGCGTTCTTGACAATCTCACACTGAATTGATAAATATAATATCTCACACTACGACAATTCACTGTTTCTATTCAAGCACTTCTGCTGCGATCGCTCTCTTTGGTCAACATTTTTGAATTGAGCATATTTGAAGTACTTTCTCTGATTTATCAAAGTGTCTCTTTTGCAATTTTTCGTTACACATGCTTGTGCAAAATTTGTAGATCATTGAAGAACTTTTAAGTTCTTTTGGAACCAAAAACTGCAGTGGTATTCCTACACGGCCCGAAAGCGATTTTGAATTTGGATTGATGAGTTGCTAATGGGCTAAAAACTTACGTCCGCGGAGTACTTGGGAAGCATAGTAAGCATATCACTACGATGATAACGATAACAAGAATACCAACTGTAATGCAAGCTGATACATACAACCCTTTTTTCGACCTCCTTGCTGTCTGCTCCTAGAAATATAGTCTGATTACGTGAAACGGTTGAGAACTTGAGAGTGTGGGATGTTACATAAGTCTTGCACTAAAGCAACTTTATGCGCAAGTTTAAGTTATATCTCTTCTACAATCTGGAATTCTACTGCTTTACAATAAAACAATATAAACTCTCAAGATTATCTGAGTATCAAACCAACTTTGAAGTTTGGTTGCAATAAAAAAAGATCAAAACATCTGAAAAGAGAAAAAAAAGTCTGTTCAATAAAAACCTAAAAATCTCCTACTCGTTCCCGCCTCTACATCTCACTTCAGATTTATTTGTAAATTTCCTGTTTTTTTCTTTGACTAGAAAACGAGAAAAATTTTTGTGCGTATGCCAAAGAAGTGCTGCCTTTCCACTAGTGTTAGTGTACTACAAGCCTTTGAGCCATGAATGTTTTAGTGATTATTCCTTGTTTCCTTCTCTTTTTTCATTCGGATTTATGCGTTAATATTGAGTTGTTCGCAAAATATTGAGTTGTTAATATTAATAGTTGTTAATATTGAGTTGTTCGATGCAGGTTTCTGTAAGGGCATTTTTTCAAAGCAACCGTTTACTTGTTTGCGCTTCTTACGATCAGCTTGCGCAATGCAAAATAGCTAAAAGCGCTTTCTCTGCTTTTCCTGGAACGTTTTGCTTGCCTCGAAATAGAGATTTTTTGTTACACATTGTTTTGACTTGAACTCATTCTTCAAAAAAGATGATTTTAGGATAATATAGTTAAAAATGCTGACTTGTCCTACAAAACCCATAGTAATGCCTCCTATCAATCATTGGAGCAGGGATGCTGAGATCTAAACATGATCAACAGTCGTGGCCGTCTACGCTTCCTTAAGACAAAAAACAGTTTTAATGTCTTTTTTGTGCTTTACCAAAAAGACCAGAGATATTAGGAACTGCTTGACGTAGAAACTCCTAAGCTGCATTGGTAGTAAAAAAAGGGAAAATGAGAACTTAAGAAGCTTACAGTCCACAAAAATATGAATGGAAATGGTCGATTTTTTTTGCGATTTTTTCTGTTTTTCAGAAGTTCCTGAAAAATTTTGAGTGGCTATTCTGCAGTTCTGGTTGTGGCTGCGCGCTATAAAAATTCCCTGCCAAATACTAATTCCTTTCAGGATTACAATTTGCTAAAAAAGAGCATGTTGAAAGGATGTGATGTATACTTTCCCGAAGACTTCATATTGAAACTCTGCGACGAAACCCGCATCGTTTTCCGAATAACATGATACTACATATTTCTACATTTGTTACACTGGAAAGGCTTTACCGAAGATTACTATTAGGTTGATGCATAATTCCTGCACCAAAATAGGTACAGACCGCAATAATCTGCAATAATCTTATATACCAAATAGGATTCGATATATTATCAGATAGAGCAAACCTAGCTTTACAAGATAGCTCTTAAAAATTTGCACAGCTTTGGTTCAAGCGAAGATTGAAGCCAAAAATAAAGAAGATTCAAGCGCCCTCGAAAAACCAAGAAAAAATTGGAAGTTAGTTCAGAAAAATCCTTTGAATTCCCTAACTTGCTCATGCATTGTCATTTCGTATTAGACATTTCTCTATGCAGTTGCTGTATTTTTCTCTTAGCTAGAAACTGAGAAAACGAGGTTTTTCATGTTTTTCCCAAAACAATGCTGAGGTGTTCTAGCATGACAGTTGTATACTATAGGACCTTAGAAGCGTGAGTGTGAATCTTCAGCTCTTTACAGCAGCTGTTTACGAGAAATATGGAATTTTTAGCAATTAGGCAAGAAAAATTCGGAAGGAGAGCTAGATTCATCATTTCTCGTGGATAAGTGTTCTAGAAGGCTGAAAATGTAAAATTTCACTGCTAACGGCATGTACTATACAATTATTAGTGCTAGAATATCTCAGCACTAATTTGGCAAAAACTTAGAAAACTTCGTTTTCTCATCGTCTAGCTGAGAAAAAAATACAGCAACCGCATAGGTAATTCTCTTACGCGGGTCTACGCGTGAGCAAGGAAGGAATTTTGTAGGAGCTTTTTGAACAAAGTTACAATTTTGTTTTGATTGGTCTTAAGGTTTCCGAACGCATGGGTTTTTTTTTCAGTTTTCGGCACAAAACTTCGCGTGGATCAAAGCTGGTGCAGATATTTAAGCACTATCTTGTAGAGCTAGGCTTGTTCTATCTAATGATTTTTTGGAATCCTATTTGGGTATAGGATTATTCTGGATTATTGCGGTCTGTACCTATTTTGGTGCAGGAATTATGCATCAACCTAACAGTAAGAATGTGGTCGGTTGCAGCGCATAGTGTGCAGATTCACATATTGTGTAAAAATGACTCGAAAGTCATGATTAACCGGAAGCTCGAAGCCGGAGGAAGTGATCATGGCGCAATCAGATTAATCGAACTATAGCCCGAAAAAACCTGAAAAAATTTTTTTGCCGTTTTTGTATATACATGTACTCCATATGTATTAGGTTGTCCCGAAAATTTGTCGGTTTTTTCATCGCCCACTAAAACCCAAAGAATACCAATTCAGGGACGATCTAGGTATCACTTGATTCAGATTTTTATCCTCTTTCTTACAGCTAAATGTGCTCTCTGATCTACCTTGTCTTTGCAATGCTATCTCCATGGCTTTTTGAGCAGTTCAGCACTAACGCCAAATCTTTCCTGAATTTTGAAAATTTTTATCCTGTTGTTTTCAAAGAGCGCTAGTAGCTGTTATGTAGAGCAAATCTTTGGCTACATTGTATTTACTTTAAATTAAATGGAACACGTTTCTCAAGTCCGTTATAATTATTTATTGAAGAAAAACCGCTGCTTTTTGATTGCGTTTACCACGTAAACGTACCGAAAATTCCAAAAAGCTGCTTTTTCGAAACAAATCAAACTTGGTTACGTTGCATAATTATCGTTTATTACCAATCGAGTTTCAATTCGCAGAAATTTTAGAAGCTTTCAGATTTTGCTGCGGTTGCGTGTTTTATGACTTTGCAAAAATCGAGACCTCGGAAAAAATAATTTTTTGAAGCTAAAGACAGAAGATTGGGAGAATCTTAAAACATTGCCATATAGCCCGAGAATTGCTCTATTTGACCCATACTTAACCCTTTCCGAAACCATGGAATGAAATTCCTAAAAATTCGCCTAAGTTTAAGCAGAAAAAATTGGCAGGTGGAGAATTTTGGCAATTATCAAAGAAAGCATACAAGATTGTGGTTCGAAAATGTATCCATCTGAAAAAGAAGAAAAAGCTGCATTGAATGCATTCTGAAACTCATTCAGGTCTTTATTGTGCATGGTTTTATAGCGGTTTGAAAAAACCGACAAAACTGTCGGGACAACCTAATACTATATTTTATTAGTCTCGAAATTAAAAAAAACGAAAAGTAAGACCGCGAATCCCGGCCTTTGCAATCATAATTTTCTCCAAATATGCAGTTATGTATTGCAAATATTTAATTTTAACCATCGAAGTTCGGTTTTACGTTTCGTTGTCGGCTCTACTTTATAAGAAGTATCAATTTCTGCCAAAAAAAACTCGAAAACAGAGACTTTCCCTTCATTGCGTTTGTTATTACGGTGTAAATCTTCTTTGATTTTTGAACCTACCCGCAAGTTCCTCAGAATGAAAGCAGACAAACAAGCTAAATAGTATTCAATGCCAAACATCTTCCTCTTTCCGCAGTCCTGTTTTTTAATATGATCTTGAACACACGCTGGAAAAACCTGAAACTCGATTATAGGAACCAGTGCTTGAGGGAATCTATCCACCTAGAAGCTTGCCGCAAAGTCATAAAGGCCATGAGTTGTTAGCAACGCTAATCAACACCTAAACCTCTTGCCGAGTTGATCCTGGACAAATAATTCCCCCGAGTTTTGGCTATAGTCCGTGTTAAGAATGCCGTGACAGATGGTTGAGCATCAAACACAAGCGGTACATGAGTTTGAAAAAAATGTGCAAATGACTTGTTTATCCTAGTAAAATATTAAAATACTATCAAGAAATTTTTAAGATTCATTTTATCCTTGTAAAAAAATTTTTCAAAAGCGTGGTTGCCGCCACGCCCGTTTTCCTAAATTTTAGAGGTTATGGGCCCGAGATCTCGAGAAAAAACCTCGAGAAGCATCTGCAAAATTTTTTCGGAGTGCGTGGTCAATTTTTGTCCCCCCCCCCCCTTCCCAAAAAAAAACGGAAATCTTGGGACCGCCACTGATATATTGGTTTGGCGTGAAAGTTCTTGCGTTATGCAAACAAAATTCAATGATTTTCCAAAGAGTAGCGCCAAATGATGTTTTAGTATCAAAAAAAAATAGAGGAAGCCTTGCGCTCCTTAACAGATGCTTGAGCTAAACATTCTATAAGTTAGCCATCGAGAAGGAAGCTTCAAAATGACGATTTATGACTTGCGATTTTGAGTTTGCTGCTAGAAGATTGCGAAGGACCGCTATCTAACTCCGAAATTTGTTAAAATTCCTCACACACCAAAAGTCCATATGTTACTTTGGCAGACTTATCTCTATGGAAATGCAAAGCAAAAAGTTTTTTGGAAATGTCATAATTACAAGAAAACCGCCTTTATCGCTGCAGTCCTTTTACAGATAAACTTTTGAAACTAGATTTTTTACCTTGTGCTTAACTAGAGCATTGTTTTTCGGAACGGTAAGCAGTGTTTTTGCTGCAAAAAGTACGGTGATAAGGGATTTTCTCAGAAATGACTTTTTCACTTTTCTTTTTGCCCTGCCATAGAAGACCGAAACCTGCTACATTACATATGGACTTTTAGTGTGTAAGGATATTCTGCAGATTTTTTTTGGGCTAGCTAGCGGCCCTCCGCGATTTTGAAGCACCAAACTCAAGATCGCATTTTCCAAGTCGTCATTTTTTCTTCGTTCTCAGTGGCTAACTTAAAAAATATGTTCAGCTTGAACATTTGTTATGAAGCGCAAATCTCTTTTCATTTATTTTCGAGATACTAAACCATCAGTTTAGTGCCACGTTTTGCAAAGTTATTGAATTTTATGAATTACGCAAGAACTTTCGCGCCAACCTAATAGATACATGGTGTCTCATAAAATGCGCACATTGTTTGATCATTAAGGACTTTCTTGCATTTGAGTCTTTCACCGATTTCTAAGTGTATTCCTGTGGTTCTGACTTCACTTAGTACAGTATAGAGCGAATTACCACCCTTCATTACTGTAAGATTGAAGTAAAACTTCGATGACGATTTCAGCTCTTTAGGAGCCATATTTTCCTTTGCCTTTAAGAAGGCTATATAAAATATAGTTTTATTCTAGGCTGATCAAAGGCGCTGATTTCAAATATGAAATTCGCGGTTTACTGTAATCTTTTTTCTGTAAGTTGCTCTACTTAAACCATTGAAATGCTTCTCTAATGTTTGTCAGAAATGTGATTACACTATCGATAAACCTCAGAAAAAAATACTCGCAAAAAGTGCTGCGGTGGCATCAGCATGTGCGATTTTTGATTTTTTAGAAAAAAACTCCTGGGCGACATGAATCATGATGGTTTCGCACGCTAAATGTTTCCACAGTAATCCTAAAGATCGGCGAAAGATATCAATGCACCAAAGTTATCAACGATCAAACAGTATGCACATTTTTTGGGACAATCTGTATTACCCTTTAATTCAACGGTTGCGGCCATATGCATCGTCTAAGCTGAAACTTCACACATCCATCTTTGCCTAAACGAATGTTTTGAGCTACTTTATGTGGCATTTCATAAAACTGTTCGATTGGTCGCCAATTTGTGATCCATAGAAAAAATTTTTTTTATCGCTTATTAGCTTTAATCCAAAGTTTCACGTGAATGGAGATGGAGTTTACGGTTAGTAAGAGTAGATAAAGGTGTTCATCTGCAAGCGTCATTTTTAGCTTCAAAGTTACGTGTACGTATTCTTCAAAATGTCAAAAAAAACGAGCACACGTTATTTTTTCCAAGTTTTTAAATGAGAAACTGAGGGCTTTGTTCATCATAAACACAGATCGCATCATCGTTCCTTATATCGACTTGAGTAATCGTAATTTTCTTTGTCAATTCTAATTCGTATTTGCTTTCTTGCTACTGATTTTTATTTCCAAAAATACTGAACCCTTTGGCAAATTATGTGCAACTAGTTGGCTTTCCCGGTCCGGACCGGGCCAGTGTTCTCCTGCACTGCGAGCCCACCCCCCCCCCCCTTTATACAGGGTGTCCCAAAAAGATGTGCACACTGTTTGATCGTTAATAACTCTCTTGCTTTCATATCTTTTGTAGAGCTTAAAGCACCATTTTATAGAGCGAGGTTCAGCTTAGATTTGCAGAATGGAGCGAATCACTTTTCAATTGCTTTTCATTACTGTAGGATGACGGCAGGAACTTCGAAGAGGGTTTTAAGCCATTAAAAGGCGCAATTTGCCTCAGAAAGAAAGCCAAACAAGCCAGAAACTTGTAAACTGGCCTCGTTGAAGATGCTGATTTTAAATATGAAGTTTGCACCTTAGTATAGTGCTTCTTTCATAAGTTATTTCAGATTTAGAGTAAAAATTGTTTTCTTAATTTCCCTCAAAAATGTGAATACGCGAACAAGAGAGTTCGAAAAATTGATGAAAAGTTATCTACTGAAATCAGCATGCCTGAAAACCTTGATACACAGATTTTCAGATTTCTTTGAAATTATTTTATCACAAGTGAGTCAGTTTTCCACAGTGACGCTGTATGTTGGAAGTTCATACCGTAATCCTACAGTAATGAAAAGTGATTGGTGATTTGCTCCACACTGCAAATCTAAGTTGAACCTCGCTCTACAGAATGGTACCTTGAACTCGGCAAAAAACCTGAAAGCAAGAGAGTTATTAACGATTAAACAGTGTGCACATTTTTTGGGACACTCTGTATGTTATGGATAACTTACCCTGGGACATCCGCTTCGAAACCGCATCCTCGTGATTCTGAGATAAAAATGGGCCTGACCGCCCTCCTTTACGTGACTATGGCAAAATGCCTGATTAACATAATAAGCCTTCAATTCCTTAGAAAAACGTAAACAAATCAATAAATCGATAGAAGGACCCAATGAATCGCCGCAAAAAGTAGCCTAAAACCGTCTCCGGGGTCGAAAACACCTGTGTGCAAACTTTCAGCCCAAACGGTTGAGCGGCGCGCGTTTCTATAAATCGCATACCCTCCAAACGGACAATTTTTGAGTTTTATATGTATAGAGAAGTATTTTTTTTTGTTTTTTATGCGCTATGCTGCATTTCTCGTTTAGTTTCAAGCTAATTTAGCAGCGAAAAAAGACTTTTTGCGCACTGTACTGGAGTTATTTCAGATGCTTTTGGATCTTACTTCTATTCGTTCACTCATAGTCTCAAAACAAACAATATTCTTTGATGCATCCTTAGAGTTTTCTTTGATGCATTCCTTTAAATTACTAAGTCGTCAAGAAAAACATTTTAGGAAAGCATAACGTGGACCGATTTCAAACAACAGCGGAAGCAGCAGCGCACATGCGTGACGGCATGTCATGCATACAATATTTATGTCGGGTGCACCAGCATTTCCTCTCCCACGCGGCCGCCTTGCTTGGACTACGCACCTCTTTTGCGAACATGCTCTCTAGTTATTTTTAGTCGGCTGGGACTCCGCCTTCCATATTCTCGTGGTGGGAAAGTGATTAGAAAGCATGCTCGCGAAAAAGTTGCAGAATTCAAGCGAGGCGGTTGCGCGGGAGTGGAGATGCTAGTGCACCCGATACTGTATTCGATGTTCCATGTTCGACTTTCAATGAATCCTGGCATATCGAATTAGTTGCTTTTGTGATTGAGCCAACACCAAAATTATTTAGCACTAGTTGGCTTCCCCGGTCCAGCCCGGGCTATTGTTCATAGGGGAGAAGATAGATGCTACCGCTCCCAGCAAAATTACTGCACTGCGCAACCCCTTCCCCCTTTTCCATGTTATGGATGACTTACCTTGCGCATCCGCTTCATTTCACCGCATCCTCGTGAATCTGAGTGAAAAGGGCTTCACTGCCGTCCTTCACATGATTATGAGAAAATGCTTAGTTGAACATGATAAGCCTTCAATTCCTTAGAAAACGTAAACAAATCAATAAATCAATGGAGGGACCTGACGATTCGCCACAAAAAGTAGCCTGTAAACTGCGCAGGGGTAGAATTCATGTGTGTGCAAAGTTTCAGCTCAATTGGTTGAATCGCTCCTTCTACAACTCACATACCCTCCAAACTGACAATTTTTGAGTTTTATATATATACAGGGTGTCCCAAAAAAATGTGAACACTGTTTGATTGTTAATAACTCCCCTGCTTTCATGTCTTTCGCCGAGTTTGAATCATTATTCTATAGAGCGAGGTCTAACTTAGATTTGTAGTATGGAGCGAAGCGTCGATCTCTCTTCATTACTGTAGGATTACGGTAGGAACTTCGACAAGGATTTTAGGCCATTGGAGGCCATATTCTCCTCGGAACAAAACCAAACAAGCCTCAAACTCGTACACTATGGTAATGGAAGCCGCTGAGTTCGAATATGGAATTTTCACTTTACTATGATGCTTCTTTCCAAGGTTATCTCGGGTAAACCGCGATGTCTGAATTTCCAGCATTTATCAGAAATGTGACTGCATCGTCAAAAAAGCTAAAAACAATCGTAAAAAGTTGTGTAATGGAATCAGCGCGCGCGAAAACCCTAGTACACGATTTT